ACTTTCTTCTTGTATGATGTTCTTGGTGTCATCTCAACAGCTTTTTTTGGTCTTCGGTCATTAGTATCTAATACTTCAAATCTGTTCTTGCAATGATCTCTAAACTCAGGTGGGATATGTTCAAGGTCATGGTTTGGCTCTAGAGAACTTGTTTTAATTTTCTTCAATTTCAGCCTGAACTTGAAAATGAGCAATTGATAGATTGTTCCACAGTTGGCTACTGGTCTTATCTTGGCTGATGATAAGGAGCTTTTTCACAGTCTCTCTCCACAGATTTAGTTAATTTGATTCCTGTGTATTCCACCTGCCTTTTATTTGTGGGTATTTGAAATTATTAAGTCATTGGTGTTACAAAATTCTATCATGTGATCTTCAGCATCATTTATTATCATCAAGGTCATATTTTGCAACTACTGATCCTTCCTCTGTTTCCAATCTTCACATTCCAATCATCAGTAATTATCAATACATCCTGACTGCATGTTTTTCAGTTTGTTACACTGTGGTGATTTGCATGTTGCTGTGATGCTAGAAGTTATGCCATCGGTATTTGAAACATCAGCAAGATCACCTATGGTGGACAGGTTTCCAGATTAAGACACAGTAGAAGAAGACCAGACAGACTACTTCTGAATTGTTACCCACTGAAAACCTTATGAATCGCAGCAGAACATTGTCAGATACAGTGCTGGAAGAAGATCTAGAGTAAAGCTATGCAAATATTTCTTGAATTAAGGTAATATTTTCTACCTATCCCATTTGACATTTTAGTCTCAGTTTCTTACACTTTTAAAACAAAGCTTACTTTATAAAAGGGAACATCTATACGAAAAAAAAACAAGGAGTAACCCACTATAAGTGAATGATCTTGACCTATGCTTGTGGATGCAGTATGACAAAGGAGCAGACAAATCTCTACAGTGAGGATCATTCCCATCCCCTTGGTACACAGGGTTGACAGGGAGGGGGAAATTAGACAATGGCTACCCAAGATGGGGGGACTACAAAGGCAAGAAGTGAGTGGCTTACAAGCTTTCAATAGGGAACCTAGCTTCAGAGGATACAGAGAAAGGTAGAACCTCCACTGAATTGTTTCCAACCTGTCTGGATGGGGTTGATAAAAGGTGAGAGGGAAAGGACTCCTGTGGTTCAATAGGGAATGATTGCTATCAGGTCTGACAGTGAGTGTTGGAAAGGTAAATGTAAACGTTTGGTAACAAAAGGAGGGGAGTGGCTGATTTTGCAGTCCAGGAGTGGAGATACCTGGAACCATCATGGTAGAAAAGCGAAGTGTGAGACTGTGTCCAGAAAGACAGTGACACTAGGGAGAGGCAATGACGTGGACAGAGGAGTGGCTGAGAACTCTGGACTCAGGGAGAAAGAGGGGTTGTGGGATGGCGGTCAGGGGGCAGAAGTGTGGGGTATACCCGTTGGGTATTTGATGATATATGCAGGGAATTGTGATCATTGCAATGAAACAAAGTACGATAGGATGAATGTAAAGATAATGTTCACCCATGTAAACTAACACATAATTCACAATAAAAACTTTAAAAAAAAAAAAAAGAGAGAACCTCTATAACCCTTTCAGTGACCAAGTTCACAGGTCTCTAAAGCATTCTTAATCTCTGAGAACCAGGAGCTAGAACTGGGGCCCAGGATCTTCTAGAGAATCAGATGACCCTCTTTTTGCACAATAGATGAAATCTCTCATATGTAAAAAAAAAAAAAAAAGACAACCAACATTGTATAAGTTTTCTGAAATTTGACCTTATAAAAATTTCAGGAACAATTTTGTTTTTACTTCTTTTAATTAGATAGGAAACACTTCTTATTTATTTTATGAAGAATCTTGAAAAATGTAGACTATTGGTAAAGTGCTGTTTTCCAAAAACATGTAAGTAATTACATAATCACCTGAAAAAAAGCACTCGACTACACTCCTATTGCAAGCCTAGTCTTTGCTGTTAAGTGCCATTGAGTCAGTTCCGACCCATAGCAACCCTGTACAGGGTTTCTGAAGAACAGCTGGTAAGCTTGAACTGCCGATCTTGTCATTCAAACCGACTTTGTAGTCCAGTTAGTGCATTAACTCACAGAGCCACACCAGCTTTTTCCACAGACAATTTTAAGATTGTGGAAACACTAGGCAGATGCACTACATGGACCATCTACAACAAAGATACAAGAGAAAAAATAAAACAGACACAGATGAAAAGTCTAGCAAGCTGAACTTCAGAAGAAAGGTTAGAGAGATGGGTGACTAGACTGGTGAACAACAATGGTCAGATATGGCATGACCACCTTGTGAGCAGCTTTGGCAGTAGAGGGAGGCCTGGAAGAGCAGATTCACACAGATGATTAAAAGGTCCTATTTCTTCTTTTCCCCCACACTCCCCTGGTGACCACAAGTGTGGCCAGCTCCCACCTTCATCCACCCCAAGGCAAAGACCCTGCTCTCTGGGAGTTCAGAAATGTGTGCATAGGAGCCACTTTGGCATGACGCGGGGGCTGGCTGCACTGCTTTGGTGTTCCACTCTGGTGTCCGGATTCAGGTGGACTCAACTCCAGACCTACAAAACCCGCAGAGCCACCAGGCCAGCATTTAACCAGCCACTTTGTCCCCAGCTTCCCTGTGGTCCTAACAGAAACTGAAATCAGCTCCATCAAGGGCCTCACAAAAGACTTCTGGAGTGAATGCCCTGAACACAGATCACACTGAGGCCAACTGGAACTCTATCTAGAACCAGAAGTCTGCTGTCACATCTCTTCCATAACTACCTCATGAGCTTTCTGAGTTGCAGGAGCCCATTAGAGATTTCTCCCCTCTGGGCCCAACAACTGCACTGTTTGTTTTTACATATAAGACAACCCCGGAGACAACAGACAAGTTTAAGCTCACATGAAGAAGCTATAGAGCCTGGCTCAAACAAATAACCAAGATGCAGAGTTATGTGGGACACCATGAAGAGGAACAACCTATGAGCAACTGGAATTCCAGACAGGAAGCGACAATAGAAATCACAGAGAAAACTGTTGAAGAACAGTTGGAAGAAAAGTTCTCTAAGATCATGAAAGACAAGAAGATAAGCATACTAGAAGCTTAATGAACTCCAAACAGGATAGATTCTGAAAGAAAATAAGTAAGACATATCATAATCAAACTTTCCAACATCAAAGGCAGGGAAAGCATTCTGAAAGCAGCTCAGGAAAAACTAAAAGTTACCTACAAGGAGCTCTGGTAGCGTAGTGGTTACGAATTGGGCTGTGAACCTTAAGGTCAGCGGTTCAAAACTACCAGCTGCACCGCGGGAGAAAGATGAGGCTTTCTACTCCCGTAAAGATTTACACCCTCGGAAACCCTATACAGGGTCGCTATGAGTTGGAACC